AAGGATATAATCACGATTTTGTTTTAAAAGACTGTTATCTCAAGGCACACCGCATACCACAGTGGTAATCGTTGTGGAATATGCATTAACTAGCTAAGGCCGTGCGTTGGTACTTGCTAGGGGTGACAAAACTGTGTTAATTCAATCTATTGCTCCCATAAGAAGGGTTTTGAAACAATGTTGGCACCAATAATAAAGTTAAAAGCGACACATGATCTTTTAATTTGCATCACTGGTACAAGTGGAAATGAAATATTAACCAAACTCTCTCTCTCTCTCTATATATATATATATATATATATATATATATATATATATATATATATATATATATATATATATATATATATATATATATATATATATAAGATGGATCAATCTTGATCCCATCAAGCCACGGCTGCAATACTTGCATGGGAGTTCATTAGAGCATGTCTATTACAGCGGTCAATCATGTCATTAAGCATTAGGAGCTACTAAAGTTTGAAAAGTCAAATACAGATGGTTGAATATATAATCAACAGCGTGTTGGTGGGGCTGGTCAGCCCCCTCACAAAACACTGTTCATCTAAATCTAAAGCCAGCAATGATACTTCTCTCTTACATAAATGAACCAAACCAACCGAGCAAATTTGAATAGTTACAACATGCCGCATGCAAAGAAGCAGCTAAATGCTACTCCCTCCGCTACAAATTATAAGATATTTTGGTTTTTTAGATACATTACTTTTGCCATGTATTTCGACATAAGCTATAAATCTAAAAAAAGCCAAGACGTCTTATAATTTGAAATAGAGAGAGTAGCAAACAAATACATGAGGACGGTGTGCCAGTGTTGGATGTCAGTACGGGAGTATTTATTCATACAGTAAAGGCAGGTTTTACTACAGCTGCCAGCCTCGTTGTAGACGGAGTAGCAACTTGCAATTCACCCCAGGCGACAGCCCACAGCAAGTGCTCTCAAATTTTCATCATTGCAAAATGAGTTCTGCTTGTTTGTGTTCTCCCAAGCGGAGAATTCTGCAGGGCTTGTTCAATAGCACACCGAATTTGAGTGAAATATGTCTTGGCTCGAATAGGTTGACAGAAGCAATTCCTGATAGTGCCACCTCATTACTAAAGATGGGGGTGCTTGTCCTAGAAAAAAAAAACTCGGGCTCCATGCCACCTTCTTTGTTTAATATTTCCCAGCTTCAAGAGCTATCTGTCGGACAAAACAACCTCTCAGGTCCCATTCCTGGAAATGAGAGCTTTCACGTCCCTATGCTGCAAATGCTGATTCTCCAAAAACCATTTCAACAAGCCCATCCCTTTAGTACTTTCTACGTGTCAGAACCTTGACACACTCTTAAGTTGCTGTGAATAATTTCACTTGTTCTATGCCGTTATGGCTAGCAATACTTCCAAGCCTTATTGCAATATCCTTGTCAATGAATAACCTGACTGGAATGATCCCAGTTGACTGAGCAACCACATCCTGCTTTTGTTCAACCTAAGTGAGAACAATCTACAAGGGGAGATTCCACCAGAATTGGGACAGTTGAGAAACCTCCAGTTTCTAGGCCTTGCAAATAACCAAATAACTGGTGTCATTCAAGAATCCATAGGCAGTCTATCAAACCTTTCCCAAATAGACTTACTTGGAAACAGATTGACAAGATCAGTGTTGATGTCATTTAGCACCTTGCTGAATCTCCGTTGCATCTTTGTTGATGGGAACCATCTCTCTGGGAATCTAGATTTCCTATCTGCTTCATTGTCCAAATGCAGAAGCCTTACAACCATTGACATATCAAACAATGCATTCACAGGGAGGCTACCAACTTCAATTGCAAACCAATTTCCTACGGTGAACTCTGCATGATGATATATCTCAATCTGTCCAGAGATTTATTCCAAGGATGAATACCAGCGCCTGTTCGCTTGGGCTTGTTTGGCTGATAAGCCATGGCTGAAAGTACTGTTGGCTAATTTGGTGTGAGAGAAAAATATTGTTCGTTGGCTGAAAAAGTACGGCATATAAGCCAAACAAGCCCAAGCGAACAGGGCGGCATTTGGCAATGTACTTAATATTGAGGAGTTGGATCTATCCTCCAATGCACTTTCTGTTGCCATCCCAATATCCTTAACCAATCTCACTTACCTTGCAAATCTGAACCTTTCCTTTACCAGACTGGATGGACAGATACATGAAGGAGGACTGTTCTGAAATATCATACTCAAATCGCTGATGGGGAACAATGCACTGTATGGCCTTCCCTGCCTAGGTATAGCACAATGCCAGAACACTAGTAATCATTCAGACCAAAAAGTCCTGGCTAGCAACCTAAGGCACTATTGTTTTCTCTCCGGTTGCAAAGCAACACTTTTAGAACTGCACTTTTGATTTCATTGTTACAGGATATTTTCCAAGGGTAACATATTCGGTTTCCATTCATCAAAGAAAAGTACACGCAAGGCCAACACAAAATAAAATATCTTTGTTGTAGTTAATAGATGGACAAAACCATACAAACTGATGGGAAGTGGCCAAGGTTTCAAGAATGTATAAGCATGCATGAACCATCACAGATGTCAGCTAAACTTTTCAAAAAATAGCACTGTAAATGAAGCCAGTATACCAGCAAAAGGGATCATGGGTATTTATCATATGTATAGAACCATTCCATTAAAAAAAGGCATTGGATGTTTTCACACGTGTTTAACTCAAGCCAGTATACAACCATGTTTTCACACATGTTTCAGTATTAAGCATCCAAAAATGACCTCTATGGAATTGAGCAGGCTAAAATAAGAGTGATAATGATAATGTGACATGATGAAGCAAACTTCTCTCTCCATTCATCATGTAAACACCAATATGAGAATTGTGTAGTTAATACAGTGCACTCCCTATCTAAGATAGCAATTCATTGGATGGAGCCCTTCATAAATGGCATCACATTTCATACAGTGCACTAAATAAAAGAAAATTACATTTTAATTGGTCAACGCTGATATGTGCACTAAGATTTTAAATTTATCGTCCTGGGTATAAAGCTCCATCAATTATTCATAATATTTTGTCTGATACACTGCTAAATTAAAAGGTATAGTAGACTGCATAAAAGTGAGAAGATGTAGCAAATAACTTTATTTGAATAGAAACAAAGATATGAAGGATCATTCATTCTCATTTGCAACAGCTCTGCACCTTTATCTGTACTTATATATCTACAGTTCCATAACAGAGCAAGATAAAACCATTACTCTTTATATTATTCAGTACCTCAGATAATAGAAGGAGCATCAGTAAATATATCTAAACTGAACTACATATTTTGGCTCCTAAGCAATATCCATCCTTGTGTGATATGTGTCCCTGTGCGATATCCTGAAAAGAGCATTGCACATGAGTTGAGATTAAACTGTAAAACCCTATTTTCTGTCAATGAAGATGAGATTGCACCAACTAAGAATGCAAACGTAGGCAGATGAGCTCACACAAATAAAAAAAAATCATTAGCATCTATCTCAAGCACTTCTGGCTGAAAGAACCTCCTTAATGCAGATGCTAATTCTGTTTCAAATGACCGAGTGATGCTAGTCTTTGAAATGCTTGAGTGAAGGTGTGCAACCACTGAAAGGTAGTAACCATGGAAACCAAGAACATATATTGAAAGAAACTGCAATGAATTTATCAAGTAGAACTGGCATTTTATCGAACACCTAAAGTGCAAGCAGTAGCAGCACAGAGCAACAAGCACAGGAAAATCACATCCAGCGTGGCAATCACCCGAGTGTCTAGGCCGACTAGTAGCAAGCATAGCTGGTAGTGGTCTGCTGGCATGGTTGGATGCCTTGGCGAGGTCGATGGGGCGCCATGATTGTCTTCAGAGTGTGGCAAGCGTGGCCGGGTCAGCGGAGCAGGTGGCCGGTGGCGGTTGAGAAGGCCTCCCATTGCTACTGCACAACAACGCGCAACGGGGCAAGTGCCCCGTCCACACCACGAGCAGAAGGCTAGGTGACCCAAATCGAAACACTGTCGTTGATGGAGGCCGGCGTGGGGAGAGAAAGGGTGGGGGCAGATGACATCATGGGGAAGATGAAGCAGTGGATGGCAGCCGGCACTGGGACAGAAAAGGCGGCGGCGGCGCATGCATGGGGAGAGGAAGGGCGGCGGTGGCGACGTGGATTGCTCGAGTCCGCGAGAGATGCTCGGCTTTCGAGAGACCCAGGACGAGAGAGGGAGACTGGTCCCACCTGACAGCGCGGGGAGAATGCGGGGAGCCGAGGGGCATGCCCAACTCAGGGGGGCAGACCGAAGCGATGTTGTGGACGATTGCAGTTTCATCTTAATAGGAGCGGAGAAAAGTACCACGGACGGCCCATATTGATTCTTTATGTATTGTATAAGAAATAAGAAATAAAATCGTACGTAGTTGATTACTACAATCCTATTCTAGTTATTTCCTACAATCCTATGTATTTTTAGCTAACACATGTAAGAAATATCTTGTGTGCATCATGGTTTCAATTTGAGACATACATGGCTAGCGAGAAATTTGGAATAGAGAATCTCTATATTTAGATACAACAAAAACAACAACAAAGCCTTTTCTATCAGTTAAAAAGTTATTGGAGAATATTTTCTATCAAAATTCTATTCCAAACCATTAGTGAGGATCTGAGAGAGTCTTTTGGAGTTGCTCTTACTATGGCAATGACTACTAATGTTTCTAATTTGAAACCTGAAACTATGGATTAAAAAAGCATTGACGCGGTGCATATTGATTTTCATGTAATATCAAATCACACATATTACATGATTATTTTTAAACAACATCTTGCATTATTAAGATTCTTGCATTATTATTACTTTCGGCATATCTAAAACTAAAATTTATTATCTTTAAATTTAATGCAGGCCGTGTATGGCAATGATGATACCACAGATGGCCAGCTCAAACAACAAATAAAATTGTTGTCCAGTTATTCTCTGAAAGGCGCTACGGTTCGCCATGGCCATGTTCTACGCGTCCCTGGCCCATCACTATTCTACATCAACAACATTAAGTGTCGAAGACACACTGTTCCTGGTTGCTATCATCGTGGATGCAGCGCTCATATTGCTGCTGTCAAAATGGGGCAACGCCTTGGTCTCGCATCTCATGGCTCCTCCTAGATTTGGCGACACCTGCCTTCCGATTCTATCGTTCAACAAACACTACGCCGCCGCCATCCTCGCGCTACTCTCGGCCGTTGTCGTCGCCCTCCTCCAGCCAAAGCTGCAAAGACGTGGCCGATAGGCACGTGTTGCCATTCTTCACACAGGACATGATCGGAGGCGATGAGGAGAGTCCACACTGGACCATCTCTTTGGACTGTCGCGAGGCATCGCCCGATTTTGGCGGCCTCTTCACGGCGATCGCCGGACGCTTCATGGTAGGGCCTGTCAACACGGTTGGTTTCTTCTTCTTACGTGCGATAGCTCTCGGGCTCTATCTGTCCATGGTGGTGACGGTGGAGCTGTGACTTCGACCCCACGCCAAGTGTCGCCATTGTCGTCATGGTCCTCGTTGTGCTCACGTTTATCGCCGCCTGCATCCCACTTGTTGGGCACTCGGGAAGCAAGCCACAGGTTGTCACATCGTAGATCCATGGATCTTTGCCTACTTAATTATCCTTGGCATTCTGTTTTTCTTTTAGTTTACTTGTATGTATGTGAGTATGCTATCCGATGCATGCTCAAGTTTGTGCAATTTTTTTCTTTTAATTTATTGGTTCAAATAAACACAGAGGCGTATCGTGAGAATACAAATAACATGGATTTTTTTTCTGAATTCTCCTTTCATTTCTGTCAGCCGAACTGTGAGTGCTGTAACCTAACCTTGAATAGTTATTGGACGTGATATACTATGGTTAAACTTCATGGCAATCAGAGATCAATGGCAGGGATGGAAACTTAAGGAGCAGAACATCACGAATGCAGCTGTAATCGTACTATATATTAACATTGAAAGTACCCGTGTCATATATTGCTATATGCTGTATCGTGCAAATGTTTCAAAAGAAAGTAGATGCACTTATGGAAAAAGAAGGCGAAAATGATAGCAACCAGAGCTGCAGACCTTATTTTAGGCATAAGCAGATAAGCTCTACTTCTATTGAGAACGGAACTTTGCCAAACTTTAATAATTTAATTAATACCAAATCTAGGAGGTCAACGAAACTATATATGCAACATGCACACTGGATGAGCCAGGTTACAGCACAATTTTAGGCCTGATTTACATACGGCGAGTGTAATTGATTTCAGTATCATTATTGTGCCCTTCTCCAATAATAAACTTAGGGCTGTACTTATGAGGTTTCAAACACAAAATAAAACACAACGGTACACCCTCGTTTCTGTGGCTTATAAGCCGGCTGATACTGTTTTGTTGTGAGAGAAAAATACTGTATCATGACCGATAAACATGGCTGATACGATCAAAGGAACATGGTGAGAGAAAGCAAGCTGCCAAGCATGCATGAGGCAGAGGCGCAGACCAAGAGCAAGGCAGTAAGCTATTGTAGGCCAAATTAGCAGCCCAATATCCTATCCTAAACCCAACGTGCATAGCCTAGCCGTGTGTCCTCCTCTCTCTCTCTCTCTCAAAAAAAAAAAAAAAAATCGTGTCCTGCTGCTTCCCTGCCTAGTCGAGCTAATCCGCCGGTGGGGCCCATAAGCAGGTCGTCGACCTCCTCTCTCAGTTTGACCGCAACACCCCTCCCTCCCAGCGCCTCCTATAAATCCCGCCCAGAAATCCACCCACACCGAAACCCAACCCCAGCTCGCTCCTCTCCGAAGTCTCACCATCCAAGCTCGCGACCGCGCATAGGTGCGCGCATCCACATCCACGCCGCCCAAGGCCACAAGCCTCTCGCTCCGCTCGATCAGGTGGCTCCGTCGGTCACCGGGCGGGCCACAATTCTAAGCTCTCGACCGATTAGTTCCGGCAATGGCGTCCTCCATCTCGCTCCAGCTCCATGGCGGCTCGGACACCGTGTCGGCGCAGGCAGCGCGCTGCCACCCGGCTGTCCAGATCGCCCGGCAACTACGCGCGCCCGCCACGGTGAGCTCCGGTCTCGGCCCGCGTCGGCGTGCCTCGGCGGCGTGTACGTTCAAGAACGGCGCTAACCCGCTCCACGCGCGCTTGGCACCACCTCTTCGACGGCGGCGGCATGTCAGACGCTGCGGCGCCTGCTGGGCGCGCGCGAAGTCAGGCGCGATTCGCTTGACGGAGAGCGGCGCCGCTTTCGAGCGAGAGCGCGCATCATCGGAAAGGCCGTCTTCCCCAAAGGCCATCGGCGAGCTCCACGTCCACTCGGGCGTGGCGCGGCACCACCTCTTCGGCGGCGACGGCTTTGCGACGCGTGCGCTCCGCCTGCTGGGGGCCGCGCCGAAGTCGTCGGCGCGATTCGCTTCACGGAGACGACCCGCTCGACAGGAGCGCGCCGCCGGAAAGGCCGTCTTCCCCAAGGCCATCGGCGAGCTCCACGCCCACTCGGGCGTGGCGAGCCTCCTCCTCTTCGACGCGCGCCCAGGGCATCGGGGTGCGCCAACGCCGGGCTGGTGTACCATAACAACCGCCTCGCCATGTCCGAGGACGACCTCCCCTACCACGTGCGCGTCACCGCCCACGGCGACCTCGAGACCGTCGGGCGCCACGACTTCGGCGGGCAGCTCGACACCGCCATGATCGCGCACCCCAAGCTGGACCCGGCCACCGGAGAGCTCTTCGCGCGCAGCTACAATGTCGTGTCCAAGACGTTCCTCAAGCACTTCTACATCACCGCCGACGGCTGCAAGTCCCCCGACATCGAGATCCCCGTCACCGAGAACCACGCCATCATCCCGGACCAGCAGATCGTGTTCAAGCTCCAGGAGATGGTGCTGGGCGGCTGGCTCCCCCGGGGTGTACGACAGGAACAAGACCGCGCGGTTCGGGGTGCTGCCGAAGCGCGCCACCGACGTCCTGCAGCTGCAGTGTGTTGTCAGAGCGCGCTTCCAGTTGTGAGCGTCCCGGCAGTGCAGCTCAATTGGAGAATGAAGGCACGTACAGGTAGGTATTAGACTACATGTTCTTCCTAATTTTCCCTTTCTCGCTCCTGCTGTCCTGCAGCGCATATCTGGCTTGGCATTCCGTAGACGCCATTGGGATGATTTGGGATGCATCACACAACGGATCCAACTTCTGTAAAGTAATCCACAGATTGTAAAGTACTCCAATCAGGCAATCACAGAAAGACACTCGACATGCTCTGAGAAGAAAGCCACTCCAATACTAGAACGGACGCCTCTCTCGCCCGTTGGATGAACCAGTCTAGGGATCTTTATTTGCTTATTATCCCTGGTAATCTAAATAAAAGTTCTTTATTTTTGCTTTGATGTAGCTGAGTATACTGCGCGGTGCTCCTATTTTTTCATTTGTTTTTATGTAATGTGAGTTTATTGGTTCACGTACAGCAGTATAATTGAGAATACAAACCACAGGAATTTTGCCTGAATTCTCCATTCATTTCTGTCAGCTGAACTGTTTTCTGGAATGTGAGTGCCTGGAGCGATGCATTGTCAGGGTGTTGGCTTTACAGGTTAAAAAGTCATGGTTATAACTTATAATCACGACTTGAAATGTGTTCTGGAATAGCTCCAATCCCTATCTAGCAGGTTGTGAGGATATTTTTTGCCTAATCAAACTGGGTAACAGACTTAATACATATAGCAAGTTCCAAGTAGTACATAAACAGGAAGGCTAGGCCAATTACCACACGTCGACACTATAGCTGGTCGCTTCATGCTTGCTTCAGTCGGTGGTCGCCGGTTGCTCTCAGGAACCTCTGCAACAAATATAAGTCCCCCTTCCCTTCGAGAAAAAAAAAGAAAAAACAAAGACAATTCTCATATTTTACTTTAGAATCATAAAAATCCAGTGAGCAATATCTCTAGCAGCAAAGCATATCTAAGTTAGAAATCTAAAGTTATTCCTGACTAGAAGAGCAACAACAACTACTACAGACATGTTAAGTCATATTCCTTTGTTCTTGCTCTCAATATTTCCTTCTACATGGTATTAAGTGAGCAAGTCACAAGTGTGCAATAAATAAGATTTCCTTAATCACAATTTAGCTCACAGTTTGAAGGTCTGGTCACTGGGATCATGGGATACTACTACATGGTAGGGCCAGTCACGGCAGCTGGCTTCTTTTTCTTCTCCACTGTACTTCTCGGGGTCTATCTGATGATGGTCATAGCGATGAGAGCAGTATCTCCACCCCATGCCGCCTGCCTCGCCATGGTGCTCATGCTGCTCCTACTACTCACTGTTATCACCGCCTCCGTCTCATTTGTTTGCCACTCAGTTACCAATCCACAGGCTGTAAAGTAGATTCCAATCACAGAAAGAACCTTGCCATGTTCTGAGAATGCGACCAAAAAAGGTGGCTCCACTACACACGGGCGTCGTTGGATCTAGGCATTCCATGGATCTTTATTTGCTTATCCCTGGTATTCTATTCTCTCTCTTTTTAATTTCCTTGTATGTACTTGAGTATCACGTATGATATGATGCTCCTATTTGTGCATTTTTAATTTTTAATATAATGTACTTTTACTGGTTCAAAGATAGAAATACCGTTGAGAATAAAAATCACAAGAATTTGTCTGAATTCTCCTTTCATTTCTATTAGCTGAACTGTGAGTAATGAGGGATACATCTTTACAGGCTGTTAGTCATGGTTTGGAATGTATTCTTGAATAGCTCCCGTCCTTATCTAGCAGATTATAAAGAAATATTTTGCCTAATCCAATCGGGTAACTCAGACTTAATATATGAAGCAAGTTCTAAGCAGTAGATAAACAGGAAGGGTGCGCCAATCACCTGGCTATAACTAGTCGGTGTGCTTCCATCGGTGGTCTCCCCTTGGCCCTTGCTCCCACGGAGGCAGTGACGCAAGGATGCAGTAAACTCTGCAACAAGTAACATTGCGAATAAGAATAAAAGACAATTCTTGTATTTGAGAATCATTCGAATCCAGTGAGCAATATCAATGGCAGCATTGTGTTTGTGTCTTTGAATTAGAATTGAACAGTTATTCCTGACTAAGTGACAAGTTTTAGTAGTTTTAAAGAAGCACATCTATGCTAGAAGAGCAACATCTATAGACATGTAAATATCAAATTCATTTGTTCTTGCTCTCCTCAATATTCCCTCTACATGGTAAGTGGGCTAGTCACAAGTGTGCAATAAAGAACATTTCCTGAATCATAAATTTAGCTCGCGGTTTGAAAAATAGATGGTAAGAAAATGTTCCCACAACCCTTATATCCCGTCATATTATACAATGTAAGTTTACTGGTTCAAAGACAGCAGTATTACTGACAACACAAATCACAAGATTTTGTCTGAATTCTCCTTTTATTTTTGTTGGTTGAACTGTGAGTATCATGAGCGATACATATCTAGCAGGTTGTGAAGATATCGTTTGCCTAATCAAATGGGTAACTCAAATTTAATATATGAAGCAAGTTCTAAGTAAGTATATAAACAGGAAAGCTAGGCCAATCACCACGCTACAGGTGCTAGTTGGTTCGTGCTTCCGGTGGTGGCCGCCCCTTGCTCCAACGGAGGCACGGACGCAAGGAGTCAGGAACCTCTACAGCAAGTATACTGGCAATAAAAAAAAATCATATTCCTGTTTTGTTGAAATTAAAGAACCAAAGACAATTATCATATTTGAGAATCATTCAACAACAACAACTACAGACAAGTTAATGCCATATTCCATTGTTCTTGCTAGTCACAAGTGTCAAGTGTGCAATAAAGCAGATTTATTGAATCATAAGTTTAGCTAACGGTTTAAAAAATAGATGGTAAGAAAATGTTCCCACAACCCTTTCTTATAATCCCCTCGTATTATCCAAAGAATTAGTTCAACATAATTTTGGTATCAAACTGCTGAACACGTCCCACAGGTCGAGAAGAATAAATCAGCTGGCCATAGTTTTAGAAACTTCACAGCCTTGTAAAGATAACCCAATGTGAATCTATGTGGTAATACATTCAACATAATAGTTTGAATGATGACAAGATTATACCAAAAATAAATCCTAGACGAAAATACGGACCCAAATTCGCATCGACGAGGACTCGAACCTGGGTGATCTGGTAGGTAGCTCAGCTTCCTATGTCGACAAGGTTACAAACTTGCTATAAAATCAACCAAAACAAAAAAGAAATACGAAATAGGATTTGGTCATGTCAAAATGGCATTTTTTTCTCTCAAATTGAACACACATATGAGGTCAGGTTACTAATTGCAGAGCAGAGCATTACGCAGGGGCGCAGAGCAAGAGCAAGCCAGCAAAAAGCCAATTGTGAATAGATTAGCGGAAACAAATGGGACAAATTGGTAACCCAATACCATGAACTGGCAGCCAAACCCAACGTGCAGCCTAATCGCCGTCCTCCCTCCCTGATCGGACAACTAATCTCCATAACTCGACTACTAGTCAGACGACTAGAATCCTAGAAACCTAGTCGAGCTAATCGGGTAGGTGGGACAGTAAGTATGACTAATTGCGATTAGCCAAGCGACTTAGATCTCACCTGCTGTTGCTTTCCACTTCCAGGTTCCAGCAACATGAACTGGTATTGCGCTTGTTGGCGGAATGGAGGTGACGGGGTTGCTCCTCCTCAGTTGACCCTCGCTAGTCCCGCGCCTGGCGCAAAGTTGCAAACCATGGGATGGTCAGCGATTTGACGATGAGGGCTGCAGATCATGGGTAGCACGACCATAATCCCTGCCCCGGTGGCGTCGCCATCGCGGCGCTGGTGGTGGGCCTCATCGCAGAGGATGTTGAGGAGCGAGGAGTGAAGCGAGGAAGCGAGGAAAGGGAGACGTGCGGAGGCAGAGCAGAGAGAAATCCGTAATGATTGGGGGACGGAGGAAGAAGGCTTTGCAGGAGATGCTGAAAGGTTGAAAGGGTTGTTGTGTTGCTGAGTTGGGCAGGATTGACTTGGAAGTTGGAACAGGTCATTTCGGCCCCCTTCAATTTTTGCTCGATTGAGCAGCGAGAATTCAGGGGAAGGGGATCGCACTATGGAAGGCTTGCTGCAGGAGGTATGTTGTTTTTCTTTTTTTCTATTTCTTTTTTCCTCATTCTTTTTCTTTCCTTTCTACTATTTCTTTTTTTCATTTTTTCCTTTTTATTTTCTTTTCTTTTCTTTTTTGTCGTGTTCTATTGTTTTTGTTATCTTTTATTTTTTATTTTTCTTTCTTTTTATCTATTCTTCCTTTTTTATTTTTCTTTTCTTTTCTTCTATTTCTTTTTTCCTTTCATTTCTTTTTCCATTTTTATTTTTTGGTGGTCTTTTATTATTCTTTTTGCTTTCTTTTTCTGTTTTCGTATTTGATTCTTTTTTATTTTCCTTTCTTTTCTTCTATTTATTTTTTTATGTTTCACTTTTTTTATTTATAGATATACGCGATGTTCATGTAGTATACATGTAATGTTCTATGATGTATTTTTTGATGTCCGCAAGTAGAAATGTGAATGTTTTACAATGTATTTTATGATGTTCAGTAAGCATACATGGATGTTCTAGGACATTTTTTGCGATATTCGGTAGCATTTTTCTTCTTTTTATTTGACTCTAATTAATTTTACTTCACTAATTTTATTATTTTATTTTATATTTTCATAATATTTGTGATGTTTACGTAGTATACATATGATGTCCTATGCTATATTTCATGGTATATATAATGTTAGCATAGTATACGTATGATGTTCTATGCTATTTTCTGTGATGTTCGTATAGTGTTATTGTGATGTTCGACGATTATCTTTAAATATAGGTTTATCACGAGACAAATGTGCGTTAAAATTTTTTATCGAAATATATCCACGTGGGATCTTATTTTGAAGAGTTTATTGCAAGTAACACGATGGTGCAATCGAATTTTAATTATGATACTTGGTTTAGGAGATATGGTTTTTTACTTCTAAAAGCATGGGATATATGCTGATATCAGTAATTTTGGTTTCTAAAAGCATGGGATATATGCCTATATTATTCGAGCGAGACATACTATGCTGGCTCTTTTTTGGTCGTACTCACTGATAAATTGTTCAGTCGCTTATGAAGAGTATATTATTTTTCTCTCTTCTTTATATTTGTTGTAGACCACCAGCCTATTCACTTGTTGGTTTCTGGGCTAATAAGCCTGGCTGGTGCTGGTTTGTTGTGAGAGTAAAACATTGTTGGTTGGCGGATAAGTCTTGGCTGAAACCAACAAACGAACAGGTTGCATGTGTTCGCATCTCAGTTTTGTCTCATGCAGCCTCATCTTTAAGCTATGTTGTAGTTGGTGTCTATATAACTGTTATTGGGGGTGTTCGGCTAGAGAAATTTTGAATAAATTTAGATGGTTTGGAGGAATGCTGGATGAATTTGTGAGAGAAAAACACTGTTTCGGATGAAAAAAGAAGCGGATCAAGCCAGGTTTAAGGGCACGCGAACGAGGCCATTGTCCTTGTTTTGGCGGTGTTTTGTTGCTTATACTGAAAATTTTCTGAGTTTTACATACATATAACCTAGGCCTGGGCTTAGCAAAGTAAAAAAAAACTTGATCTCTTCACTTTAATTCACCTTTTTATATCCATCAGATGCCTCTTTCAGCAATATTTTTGATAGATGAAATTGCTTTCCTATTCAACAGTAGCCTTAGCGGAACTTTTCTACAGATTTCACCTACATAGTTGCTATTTAGTTCATTAACGATTTTTGGTAGTCTCAGCTGTGTTTGCTTCAGAAATAAGGTCCACCTCCTATGCTGACAGTTCATCAACTTTATTCTTCCGAAAAAAGGTTAGCTTACCTGACAACAAAATATGAACATCCTTGACATCATTAGCGGCGCTCCTTGCAATTTGAGTTCTACTACGATGATCTATTCCTAGGCTCATCTATTGGGATCATGTCTCATACTGCATTTTTTAGCTTTTGCTTTAGCGGCCCCTTGTTTTCATTACTAAGAACCAGGTCATTTTCCTTCAGAACAGAGGCTACACAGATAGATGCAGGTAACAACCATCCAAAAGCCTTATATTAGCGGTCCTGTCGCTTTAGGTGGAAAACATAAAATCATTTAAGGCACAAATCCATAATTTCTGTATGAGCTTTCCCCTATATGTCTTATTTATTTTTAACCGAACATTTCATGCCATTTTTTCTAAGAATGGCTCCATGTTTTGTACTTTTCATACATTATTGATTTTGCTGTTGTGACACCAATTGGCGCTTCATCCAATACTTTTCTCTTGTAGCAAAACAAAAATTTCTATTAGCGTTTGCCTAAACATGCAGGATCTAATACTGCATCT